AACCTAAGAATTATAATTTATAAATTATAGCTAAGCATAGGATTTTTAATAAAATTATAATTAGCTATAATATATTTCTTCATAAAACCATTAAAATATATCAATTTAATGTATATACACCTCATTGAGGTCTTATATTTAGTGTTATTGATGTATTTTTATGATTTATTAAAGTATTTATAGTGTTTCCAAGCGTATCTTAGTTTTTCTTCGATACACATGCGTATACAAGGCATATCTCGATACGTCTCTTAAAATTGCCTTTCCAATACACTTGACATTTTCAATACTTTGAACCTTGGTTCTCATTGATGTAAAGCTTGCAAATGGACATGGTTACCAACTTTGTGGATAATGTGCTAAAATTAATCACCTCATGTTTGCTAATGATTTAATCTTGGTGGGGGAAATTTTCATAAAATGAAGTTACAACAAAGAAGGATTCTCTCTCTATATATCTATCTATCTATCTCTATTGCAAATGGTTTGAGATTGATGTAAACTTTGCAAAGTCAACCACTTATTTTAGCAAACGTACCCAGCATAGACATAGAAAGCTACCATAATGACATGCTTCAAAGTAATTGCTCCAATGCAGACAAGTATCTTGGCGACCCTCTTATTTTTGATAACTCAGAAAAAGGATAATTCTGAACTTTGTAATTCACAAGGTAAAGAAGAAACTAGTGAGGTGAAAATATGAAACCTTATCTCATGCAGGCCACTTAATTAGCACTGGCTATATCACATACCTTATTCTTGTCAATTTCCTATCCCCAATTGAATTGCCTTGACTCCATTCTCTTTTTTTTTTTATATGTAGCAGCATTCTATCTTGTTGAGAGGAGATGTGAAAAAGACTTTAATGGGTTATTGGGATGACACTATGCTATGTTTGGTTTGAAAGAAAAGGTAGGGAAAGGAAGGGAAAGGTAGAAAAACCTTTACAAACCTTGTATTGATTTCCCTGTCTTTCCCTTCCTTTTCTTACATTTTCCTTCAAACCAAACATAGCCTAAAGTTGGTGCTTTTGTAGATCCATGAATCCCAGGCTTAATTATACATTCTCAAGCATGTGACAGGCATAACCAATAGCTATTTGTCCATCAGCTGATTGACATGGATACTGTGAATTGGAAGGCTGACCTAGTATGTTCGATGTTTAACATTGTTCAAGAAAATCTACACTATATTTTAAAATGCAGTTGTCCACATCAGATTCCTCATATGGCTTCCTAACCCTTTTAGAAACTTGTAGCTTTTTTTGAATTTTAATAAAATAAAAATTAAATATAAGGCAATTTAAGCTCACCCACAAGGCCACAATCAATTTGGTTAAAAAATTGAATGTAGCATGAACATTTTTTGACACCAGCTTGTGCATCACACTGGTCTCTTATAGGAGTTTGGATGGATCAGGTCCCAAGTCCCAGCAACCAGTCACAACAGCCTTAGTTTGCAACCATGCATTGGGAACATCTCGCAATGAAGAACAAGGGAGATATTCCCAATGCACGACTTCTTCAAAGGTTGTTGTGACTGGTTGTTGGGAGCTAGATCTTCTCTCCTCTCCTCTTGGGTGCCATGTTTGCCAAACTGATTTGGAAGTTTAACTCAAATGAATTATATATACACTTACACAAGTTGGGCTATGCCCAGTTGGCAATGAAGAAAGTTGAATCATCATCCTCTCATATAATATCTTGCAAGTAGAATTTTGACTTACTGTGGAGACAACCAATAATGTTCTTCTAGTTGGTGCAATCGTGGAGATTAGGAGCTAGCCACACAGTCGTTCATTTGATCCCATAGTGCAAGAGAGAAAAAAAGAAGCTATCATGCATCTCTTCTTCAATTGACAGCTATGTGGTTTGGTGGAAAAGTGTTTGTTTAGTACACACCGATAACAATTCTTCTCAATTGGGGCCATCACTCTTTGTTGTCTAGCTATGGAAATATTGAAATCAGGTGGTCTTTTGAAAAGATTGAACCTAATTAGGGCTGTTCACGGGTAGGGTTGGATCGGTTTAGTAGTATTTTTTTAACCAACCCGACCTAGTTGGGTTACCTATAGAACAAACCGAAACCGACCCTCTATTAAGTAAAACCAATCTGGTCGGTTTGAGTCAGTTTGGGTCGGTTTGGGTTTCAACCAACTCCAATCTTGCACAATGCACATGAAGTCAAAGTGTTAATATTATATATAATATTTTAGAATATATTTTCTGGAAATATATATTTAAAACCAAAACATATATACAAATATATCGAAATATTAATTTTCTAATTCTAGAAATATATATTTCGGAAATATATATCTGATATATTTCAGAATATATGTTTTTTCAGATATATATTTATTATTTAAAACTAAAATATCTATATTTAACAGATATTTTTTTACATAACACGGTTCGGTTTCGGTTTTCACACATGAAAACCGAAACTGAACTGAATTATTGGTTTGTTCATTTTTGCAACTCGAAACCGACCGATAGTAACGAAAAAGCGGTCAACTCGGGTTGGGTTGGGCCGGGTTGGCCGGTTTGAATTTATTTGTGAACAACCCTAAACCTAATCATCCTATAAGGTGCTATTCAACATTATTGAGGTTATGGTTGTTGATATGATGAATCTCTCATAGCTAGCTTATCACTACACAGTTGGGCAGCAAACAAGTAGACTCTTATGTGGTTTACATGATACCCTCCCTTGGTCGATATTGATGTCATTATTGGTCATCATGATGGAATATTTTACTTTATTATAAGGCTGCTTTTTTTTGCTGCTTCTCATGCATATGCATAGATGCACTGTTATTTGAAAAAGAGATTTGTCAAGCAACCATTCAACCTAAAAAAGTTTAAGTTATTAGGTGAGGCCCCTGAATAGTAAAATCTCATCGGAGAACATCTTTTCCTTGGTGAATTCACAAGTTGATTGTTTACTGCAAGATTCTCATGAATTGCTCCCCTTGTTTCTTAGTTCAATAATACATTCTTAGATGTTTGCAAACAATGTGATTGGTTCATACCCTTGCTCATTTTTCTCTCAATTCTTTAGGTTCACATTATACTTCTTTATGGGTTGGGCTCAGGCTTGGCTTTTGCCAAAATTTGAATGGACTTGGCCCAAAGTCCGAGTCCAATATAGTGTAAATTTAAGCCCAACCGCCCAAGGCCCAGCCCATGAACAGGTTTGGTTCACATCTATGTTCACATTAAATGTCAAACCGACCAAACCGGCCCGACCCAACCCGAGTTGGTCAGTTTTTCAAAACTATTGGTCAGTTTCGGTTTGTATAGAAAATAAACTGACAACTCGGTTCGGTTTTAGTTTTCATGTATGAAAATCGAAACTGGACCAATCCTATATGTTTAAAGTAATTATTAATTAGTCCCTACCCTATATGTTAAATGTTGATATATTTTATTTGTGTTTTGTTTGAACTTTGAAAAAAATTGGTTATTTATGATAAAAGCTAAAAACGTAAAACCAATACAAATATAATACAATGGAACAATATTTAACTCAGTTTTGTATAAATTTAAATATATATTGACAAAAAATCAGTTTTGCATAAAAACTAATCGATTTAAATATATATTTTGATTTTGCATAAAAACTAAAAAGAAATAAACTTAAATATAAATAGATATTTTAGTTTAAAATATATATAAAAACTGACTAAACCGATAAACCAACCCAAACCGACCCTTCGTGTTTGGGACGGTTCTGCCTCAAGGTTGGTCGGTTTCGGTTTAGTCAATAAGTAAACCGATTAGGTTGGGTTGGTTGAAGAAAATGACTCAAATTGACCCAACCTGACCCGTGAACACCCCTAGGACTCAATCCCAACTTCTCGTTTTAGATTCACACCTAATAAATATTTTGTATGTCATCTTTCTTGAAAAATGAGAAAATTGTAGAAAACTATTTATTAGCGTTTTTTGATAGCTAGGCATCATTAGGTGCCACATGCGTGAAAAAGTGAAAAAAAAAAACCCTTACCATTGGAGTCCAACAGATAGTTCTCGTATAACTTGAGAAAAACATTTTCTTGATAAAAAACTTAAGCCATGTTTGGGAGTGCTTAAAAATAAGTGCTTATTTGGGCCAAGACCACACCATTAAGCATTTAATGGTGTTTGGGAAACAAGTCAAAAGCTTATATTTTAAGCCCAAATTTCCAGCTTTTTTTAAGTGCTTGTACAATAAGCACTTATTCAAAATTTTTCCTTCCAAATCCCTAGTTGAATTTTAAAATACCACTTGTGAAACTTTCCCAAGTTGAATTTTATATAGTACTTTCGTAAAAGTAGTTTTATGGAAGTACTTCTGCAAAAGTGCTTTCGTAAAAATACTTTTATAAAAGTATGTCCGTAAAAGTGCTTTTATAAAAGTACTTATGTAAAAGTGCTTTTATAAAATTACTTACATAAAATATGCTTTTATAAAAATGTTTTCGTAAAAATGCTTTTATAAAAGTGCTTTCATAAAATTACTTTCTTAAAAGTACTTTTATAAAAGTGAATTCGTAAAATTTGAAAGAAAATGAAGGATAAAATAGGTATAATTGCTTATTAAAGAAAAAGACTACCAAACACCCAATATGAAATAAGTGATATTGGTGCCAAATGCAAATAAATACTTATTTGAATAAACACTTATTTTTAACATAAACATTCCCAAACATGGCCTTAACCAAACAAGGTTTCAAGTTCTATTGAAGGAAATACTTATTGGTGCGGAGCTGACATTGATTATATGCTACCAAACACCATCTGAGTTATTGAACCTCGAATTCTTTTATCAGCCAAGGGGCTTTCAAAAGAAAGGACCTATCACATAAACATATTTTTACATCAGGTTTGGGTTGGTTTTGATTGCCCAAGGCATCAATGCTAACCTAATTGAATTGGCCTTTCAAACTTCAACCCTAACTCAATATTTAACCCAATCAAATAGGTTGGACCGGGTTCGGATTGTCCCATCCAAAAGTTTCATTCCCTCCCTACCTTCCACAGCTTATCTTGTGGGCATTCATTGACTTCATTCATCAGTCATCACTGATTCACTGATCACCCAACCAACCCAGGATGCAAAGTCACAAATTTCAGACACTGTGCGTTTGAAATCTCCCGTTGGTCTATCGCTCTCATTTTAATTTTCCGTTGCCATTCCATGCCGACCTGGTCTTTTAACAAAAACTCTGAAGCAGAGTAGTTTCTTTAGCGTTTCTAATTAGCCGTTGAAGAACATGATTAATACTTGCCTCGGCGTTCCTGCCAAAATCATATCACCTCCGCTCACCTCTCTCAGACCTTCCCGCGACAAGATCTCCTCGGGTGAATCCTTGAAGCATCCCCAGTTTGAACCCCTCAAGAACCGTTTGATCCGCCTTGTCAATGGGGGCAATCTTGACGGTGCTCTCTCGACCCTTGAATTCATGACCCAGAAGGGAATTCAGGCGGATTTGGTTACTTATTCTGTTCTTCTCAAATCATGTATCCGATTTCGGGCTTTCGATCGTGGGAAGGTCGTTCACCGCCGTTTTATCGAGTCCGGTCTCGAATTGGACACTGTTGTGCTGAATACTCTTATTAGCTTATACTCCAAATGTGGGGAATCGGAAACAGCTGAGGCCATTTTCGAAGGCATGGGGGGTAATAGGGATTTGGTTTCGTGGAGTGCGATGATCTCGTGCTTTGCGCAGAACAAGCAGGAGCGTGAAGCCATAGCCACATTCTATGAGATGCTGGAATCGGGGCATCATCCAAATCAGTTTTGCTTTTCGAGTGTCATTCAGGCGTGTTCTAATGCGGAGAATGCTTGGATAGGAAGAGTGATTTTTGGGTTTCTGATAAAAACTGGGTATTTTGAATCTGATGTGTGCGTAGGATGTGCTTTAATTGATATGTTTACAAAGGGCAGTGGGGACTTGGTTTCTGCACGGAAAATATTTGACTGCATGCCTGAAAAGAATGTCGTCTCGTGGACGTTGATGATTACTCGATACCTACACTGTGGGTCCCCGTTAGAAGCCACTGATTTATTTCTGGATATGCTTTTAACCGAGTTTGAACCTGATCGTTTCACTCTAACTAGTGTAATTTCTGCTTGTGCTGAGCTAGAAGCAGTTGAGCTTGGGCGGCAACTGCATTCTCGAGCCATCCGAACTGGATTGGCATCGGATGTTTGTGTTGGATGTAGTTTGGTAGACATGTATGCAAAATGTGCAGTGGATGGATCAATTAGTGACTCTCGGAAGGTTTTTGATCGGATGCCCAGCCATAATGTTATGTCCTGGACTGCAATTATCACAGGATATGTGCAGTGTGGAGGGCGTGATGAAGAAGCAGTTGAACTCTTCTGTGATATGATACAGGGACAAATTCTTCCTAATCATTTCACATTTGCTAGTGTTCTCAAGGCATGTGGGAATCTCTCTGATCCAAGTATGGGTGAACAGGTTTATGCTCATGTGGTTAAACGGGGTCTTGGATCAATTAATTTTGTGGGCAATTCTCTCATTAGTATGTACGCTCGCTCAGGTAAGATGGAAGACGCCAGGAAAGCTTTTGATATTCTGTTTGAGAAGAATATGGTTTCCTATAACACACTTATTGATGGGTATGCCAAGAACTTGAGTTCTGAAGAAGCCTTTGAACTCTTCCATCTATCAGAGAATGTGGGCATTGGGGTGAATGCTTTCACATTTGCTAGTCTCTTAAGTGGGGCTGCAAGTATTAATGCATTGGGAAAGGGTGAGCAGATACATGCTCGGTTACTAAAAGCTGGCTTTGAATCTGACCAAATTGTAAGTAATGCTTTGATCTCCATGTATTCTCGGTGTGGAAACATAGATGGAGCTTACCTAGTTTTCAATCAGATGGAAGATCGAAACATTATCTCATGGACTTCGATGATTACAGGTTTTGCAAAGCATGGGTATGCTAGGAGATCTCTAGAAATGTTCAATGAAATGTTGGGGGCAGGTATAAAGCCAAATGAGATCACCTACATTGCAGTCCTGTCGGCTTGCAGCCATGTGGGATTGATTGCAGATGGATGGAAGCACTTCAATTCCATGTATAAGGAACATGGTATTCTTCCAAGAATGGAGCATTATGCTTGCATGGTTGACCTACTTGGCCGATCAGGTCTCCTTGAAGAAGCCCTCAAATTCATATACTCAATGCCATTCAGGGCTGATGCTTTGGTATGGCGTACATTGCTTGGAGCTTGCCGGGTTCACAGAAATATAGAACTTGGGATACTGGCAGCTCAGAATATTTTAGAGTTGGACCCACATGATCCAGCTGCATATATCTTACTTTCAAACTTGTATGCTTCAAAAGGAGAATGGGACAATGTAGCAGAAATCAGGAAGAGTATGAGAAAGAGGAAAATGATTAAAGAAGCGGGCTGTAGCTGGATAGAGATAGAAAACAAGGTTCACAAATTCCATGTTGGGGATACTTCGCACCCCCAATCAAGGGAGATCTTTGAAGAGTTGGATCGACTGGCTTGCAAAATAAAGGACATGGGCTATATCCCTGACATAGATTTAGTTCTCCATGATGTGGAGGAGGAACAGAAGGAACAATATTTGTTTCAACATAGCGAGAAGATAGCAGTGGCTTATGGTCTTATAAGCACATCTAAGTCGAGACCAATCCGGATATTCAAGAATCTTCGTGTATGTGGAGATTGTCATACTGCAATGAAATTCATTTCAATGGCAACAGGGCGAGAAATAATAGTGAGGGATTCCAACCGCTTCCATCATATGAAGGATGGTCTGTGCTCCTGCAGTGATTACTGGTAAAAATATTACATGGAAGGGGCAATAAATCTTTTGTTAGAGTGGAATGGTGAAACAAGATTCTTGTAGCCAACCCCATATATTTGCAATGAGGATTTGTTGAGTTGGGTTAATTTCACCTGAAATTATTGAGTGGTTCTTTTATCCATCTTAAGGTACGACTCCTCAGTTTTCTGGATGAAGCTATGGAGAATCTGACCAGAACTGAACTTCTGATGAACCAGCATGGTTAATGAAGATATGAGAGGTTCTAGGTTTATTTCCCCTACATCGGCACTTTGTGAGAAAGATTATAATTCCAAGAGAAAACAGCAAGGTTGATGCAACATGATTCATTGCTCTATAAATGCAATCAATGGAAATTGGGGACTGGATTTTCCATTTTATTCCTAACTATGGTCTTTAGAAGCTCTCGCTTTTTCATTTAATGAAGAGGAGAAAGCTAGTTTCATCCATTGCTAATGGAGAGCCTGAGAATTGGCCAAATACTCTTTACTGTAAAATTTGTAAACCAAATACAACTAATTTTCCATTAACATGTATTCTAACCGAATGGTTCTCTTTGTTTGATGGCAAAACTTTCTGTTTGACTAGTTCTATGAGTTACAGTTCTTACTAGCCTGCTCCGCAGATGGAACCTATTAAGTCATAATGCAACAACTTTTTTTTGCAGAAATTAAGGTAATATAGCTATATTTCATTGGTTAGTTTAACAAACTAATTTACACCTTCATATTCAGTAGAACTTGAAGCTTTAATTTACAAACTAGGAAAGTCAAAATGTGTTAGGAAATGTAATCACTACAAGCAATGGTTAGGAATTCCATGTATAGCATACCTACTGCACCAGATTACTTTAGGTGTAACTCAATTTTGGAATTTGAAAATTAAACATTCAATGGAAGACATAAAGGAGAAATTTAATGTGGTGCCTGAGGATACCTCTGATTAACTTGATTTTGCATCAAACAATGAGGATCAAAATTTTGGTATATTTGCTTATACAAATATGTAATATGTATTTAATATCATATAAGAACTGGAGAAAGATCTTTGAAGGAGGTTGGATTTTGAATCTCACCAAATTTTTGTTGCAATTTTCTTGACCCTCTTCTTTCCTTACTGTAGCTGACATTCAATTGGAAGTATTGAATCCACGAGAGACTTAGTTATAGAAAACTTGGTTGACTGCTGGAAAACAGCTCTGTTTTTGTTGTTTATATGCATAAGAGAGGACCTTTGTAGATTTGTATGACCAACTATGATGGCTATTGTCTTTTTATCCACTTTAATTGTAAAAGCATGAATTGGTTTCTTTCAGGTGTTGTTGTGTTGGCTCTTTTAAACAAAGTATTTTATGTTTGGTATTCTATCATTCTATGGATTCAAATATTGGGCGGGTTCTGATATGATGTGTAATGATTTTCTTCTATAACTTTGATTATGTCTGAATGGGACATCATTTTTAAGGGACTTATGTAAAGAATTTCATGGGAGTTCCAACTTTGGTAAAGATTTAATCTCACCTCATACAGATTTTATTCCCAGTAACAGAGCAAATGAGATCCTCGGTTGTAAATGTGCAGGTGCTACTTTGTGATCACAATCTGGTTCTTTTCCTAGCTTTAGAATCCTTTCAAAGTAAGCCCTCTTTATGCATCATGCCTCACCTTTGAAGTATATATGGTATATTACCTACAAGCAAGCAATCAACGGACAGCATGATCTTGCATGCAGAGAGTGGTCATATTGTTAGTTTTGACAGGACTACTGCTGAAGATCTGTTTGGTTCTTTGAATCAGAAGATTTCTTAATGGAGGTGACCTACAAAATATTTGAGCTTGTATGTTACAGCCTTACAGGCATGGAAGGCACAAGGCAAGAAATTGATATTTTTATCCTGACTTTTCTTTAATCATTCATCCTCAAACATTTGAATGCTGATCATCAAAAATGCCTAATGGTGGAGGTATAGTTAGAGTACTTAAAATCTTACATTCAACTGTTATACATTTTCTAAAAAGTGAAGCAATAAGAAACAAATAAGCTAGATTTATGGACTAATTAGAGGTTCTATATGCTTAATGTCATAATCGGGACATGTGAACAAGGTTGATTCTTTTTCACAGTGGATATGATTGCCACGTACCTAAATTGCCTATGAAAAACAGTTTGGATCTCCTATACGTAACCCCTTGTACTAAGGTGTAAACAAACCAATGAAAATTCATCAAAGTTTGGGGGGGGTGATTAGTTACACTCTTAAATGTGAGATCTTCTGATATCATACTCATCCACTATCATGTTTAAGAGTTTGACCAAACCCCATGGATTTTGATGAATTTTGAATCTTCATTGGTTAGTACTAAGGCATGGCATAATTGTTTGTTTGCACCATTCATACTTAACTTTGTTTTAATGGAGTGGATTTTGGATATCAAATGTGATGGGACCTACAACCTCTGCATAACCCATCTCACAAGTATTTTTTGATTGCAACTTGATCTGATTATTTCATAATGACATTAATCTGGAAATCATTTCCATACACCCAAACCCAAACTTGAAGGCGGACAAATTAATCTGGAAGAGAAGTCATGGTGGAAAGCACACAGTTAATAAGCTTATAGAGTCTTATCCTCTAATCCATCACTCTCCACCACCTACTTTAAATGGTCCCTTCTTTAGAAACTCAAGATTCCTTACAGGCGCCTTATCTTCGTTAGGAAATTTCTTTGGAATGGCTTACTCACCAGGGTCAAATGTGGGATGTGGCTATCATCGAATAACATGTGCTCCTGCAAATGGCAAACCGAAAATGCCACTCATCTCTTCTTCCTTTTGCCCTTTTTCCCTAGCCATTTGGTGTGAAACTCAAGTGGGTTTGAGCTTAGATTTTATTGACCAATGTCACTTAGTAAGGATTTAATCCAAAGTAGTTCTGGAATGCTATAGGCCATAGATCTATATTCGGCCTCTGCACTTGATTGAGCCACAACTAACTGTTTTTTACTGTTCCATGCTTGATGCACTTCTATCGGAAAGAATAATATCGGTCCCTTGCATTTCACGTCTATCACATGCATTGCTTAATATTGATGGGTCTTACGACACTACCGTAGGTAATATAGGACGTGCACTCATCATCCAACACTCCAATGAAGGCATCATTCAAGCTTAAGGAAGACAATGTTGGGCCCTCAACAGCAATGACTCAAAAATTTAGGCCTTAATTGCAGGCATGGAAGCAACTTCATCATGCAACATCAGGAATATATATATTAATTTGAACTCCTTAGAGCTAGTTAACTTTTAGGCTATGTTTGGTTTGAAAGGAAAAGTAGGGAAAGGAAGGGAAAAGCAGGGAAACCTATACAAGATTTGTAAAGATTTCCCTACGCCTCCCTATTTTTTCCTTCAAACCAAACATAGCCTTAGGGTAACGTCTCAGAATTGAGCATCTTCACTAGGGCCGACAATCAAGACTTTTTATTTCTTTTTCCTACTTCTCATGTACCCATATAAATAGAAAGTACAACTATGCTGCTCATATTCTACCCTGCACAACCTATAAAGGGAAAGTATCTATAACATATAAACCTATTATATCCCCTCATGTATAGCCTCTTCATGATAATCAAAGTTTCTCTATTTTACAAAAAAAGACATTAATAAAAATTATAAAAAATCAACAATTTCTTTATATCTAAGTATATCTTTATAATGGCTGGGGTGTTTAAGGGGGTTTCTCTATTTGACATGTATCCCTTTTATTAGATTCTTCATCTTTTCATCTCTCTCGGCTCACCTCTCTCTCTCTCTCTTGAATCACCTATCCTCTATCTGTTTGTTTGTTTCTCTCCCCCCTCTCTCTCCTCCTTAGTTGAACCTAAGGGAAGGTGACAGAGACTTCACAGACCTGATAAGGTCTTGGGCTGGCCCGCCTCTTCACCTAGAGTGGGGGTCTAGGGGTTTGGGAGAGGATAACACCTATAGCCCATTACCAAAAAAGGAAAAAAAAAATCCCATCGTTAACACTCTAAAAGCTATTCACCCTTTCACCCAGGATGGGGGTCTAGGGGTTTGGGAGAGGGTTACGCCTGTAACCCGTTACCAAAAAAAGCTCTCACAATGTTCAGAAGGTAGGATTTTTTCTGACTATGAGCATCATTATTGCTTGAAAAAGTTTTTTTGTGAGGTCATTGTGGGGATTTTCCTATTTTTTTTGATCATTGGAATTTTTTTGGTGTATTTGCATAGGTAATATCTTTCCTCATTAATTTGTTTTAGTATTGTTTGTCTCAATTAATAATGCAAATAGCTTTTTTAGTGAAAGACCTGCGTTCTACAATCACGTATATGGAGGTTGTGAAAGACCTGTGGGATGACATCAAAGAGCAGTTTTCAGTGGGCAATGGGCCAATAATACAACAACTCAAAGCAGATCTCGTGAACAACAAACAGGCTAGTCTCCCAATCGTGACTTATTATGGCAAACTGAAACATATATGGGAAGAACTCGCTAATTATGAACAAATTCCGACATGCATATGTGCAGGCTACAACTGCAACATCGCTACGAAGCTGGAGAAGAGACGAGAAGAAGAAAGAGTCCATCAATTTCTGATGGGCTTGGACGACGCAGTATATGGAACAGTGCATTCCAATATTCTGGGCACCGATCCACTGCCAAACTTGAACAAAGCCTATGCCATGGTGATACAAGAAGAGTGCCTGAGAGCCATGACCTACAACAAAGAAGAAAAAAGGGAGGCGATGAGCTTTGCTGTGTAGACGCAAGTTGGAACAAAAAGAAAGGGACATGACACAAAAGAAAAATCTGGAGTGTGCATGAACTGCGGACGAACAGGACATGAAGCTGAGAGTTGTTTTCAACTCATCGGCTACCCGGACTGGTGGGGAGACCGGCCAAGATCTACTGAAGGTGGGAAAACATGAGGCCGAGGAACACAAGGCAAAACTGGTCGTGGACGTGGAGGCGTACAAAGGGCAAATGCTGCACAAGCGGTAGGGCAAGCTTCTGAACCAATCCACGTGATAGAGGGAGATCGTGCAGCATTCAGTGGATTGACTATGAACAATGGCCCACTTTTCTTAATCTCTCAAATTCTTGTAAACCCAGCACAAATGAGAAGTTGACAGGTATGAATTGGATAATTGACACAGGAGCTTCACACCATATGACCGGGAACTTGAACCACCTGCATGATACCGAGACCGTGACTGGGTGTCCGGTTGGATTACTCGATGGAAAGCGTGTCATGGCAATAAAGAAAGGGACAGCCATTTTAAATAAGCACATGAAGCTTACTAATGTGCTTTATGTTCCTCGTTTGAGTTGTAACCTGATATCTGTGTCGCAATTACTAGAGGAGTCAAATTGTAATATCCAATTCACTAATAAGTTTTGTGTTGTACAGGACCACACTTCGAGGATGGTGATTGGTGCGGGTGAACTACGCGAAGGGCTCTACTACTTCAAGGGTGCGTGCTCAAGCAAGGTTCACAAGGCAAAGGTTGA